TAAACCCAGTTACAGCCCCTCTGGGTGGGGGTCCTCACACCCACTGTCTTCTCTGGTTCTGTCCAGAGGGACTCAGCACCTGCACTGGGACCCTGTCGGTGTTTTCCTAACTTTTTTTTTACTCTGGTCCACAGGAAGAAATATATTTTTACACCACAATCCAGACCATGACATGCATTCAAAACTGAAACAAAAATTTCACCAAATAATACTTTATGTGAACTGGATGGATTTTTTTTTCAAATCTTCACCTGAGGAGGTATGTTTATTGATTTTAGGCAGAGAAGAAGGGTGGGGGAAGGGAGATAAGGAGAGAGAGAGGGAGAAATTGATGTGAGAGAGAAACATCAATCAGTTGCCTCCCATGCGCGCCTGACCAGGGATCAAACCCAAAACCTTTTGGTTTGTGGAATGGCCAACTGAGCCACCCAGCCAAGGCCACTGAGTGCATTCATATGTCACAGCTTGCAAAGTCAATAAATATCGTGACTCTAAGATTCCCCCCACCTGCAAAGTGGAGACCTCACTGTTCCTAAAAATCATAAATACACATTTATTAACCTATTTCACAAATACTTGGAGAGCACAGGGCATGTGCCCATTTCTGTGTTAGGTCAGGAGGAATGCAGGAGTTTCTCCCTCAAGCAGCTCACAGTTTACTTGGAGAAATGCAGGGAAATGTAGAGAGAAGTGGAAGGAGGATTGGTGTCCAGACATCGAATGGCTCTGTGCTGTGGGCATACAAGGAGGGAGAGGTGGGGAGGGAAGATGTGCACAGGGAGGTCATGAAAGCTTCTGGAAACTCCTATCCCCTACTGGCTTTGAGAAATTGAGCATTAAATGTCTTAATGGATAGATCATATTAGCATTGCTACTAGAGCCAATAGCTACGGTGCATATTAGCAACTAAAGTGGGCCTGGCAATGTGCTGAGCGTTTCACCTAGTTGTCACATTTAATCTCCGTGACAAGCTTGTGAAGAGGTTGCTGTTATCCCCAACTTACAGCTGAAAAAGTCAATCCGCAGACTTGATCGATGGGTTACCCACCGTCACACAGCTTAAGTCAGTGGAGGATCTGAGAATTAAACCTGGACTCCTTGAATCAAAAGCACACATTCTGTCTGCTCCTCCAGAGGACAGGATGGATTTAAGTAGCTTTACAAGAGGCCGATGAGGACTGAGAGTCTAGGGAGGGCAACTGTGTAAGCCTGGTGCTTGGCGTCTTTCAGGACAGAGGATGTCAGCAGGATGGGAGTGGGAGTTTCACTGCGAGAGAAAGACTGTAGACAAGGGCCAGGCTGAGGGTAGCAGGAAGGGAACATAGCGGGAAAATGATTCTGGATCGTGAAATAGCGACAATGAGAACAATAACTACAACAACAAATTTTCTCCCAGAATTTACGATATGCTAAACATCATTTCAGGTCCTTTACTTCCTAGTAATCTCATTCTGCAGTTGAACAAACTTAGGCACAAAAAGACTGAATAACTTGCCCAGGATCAATCAGAATAATGTTGGATATCATTTCAGACAGGTGTGACATTGACATTGCCACTAATAATGTACTCTCTTGGCTCCTCACTTTTCTTAGCCCTAGTCCTTTCCTGGTTGCTCGGCAGGAAGCGTGAGTGCAGTGGGCCTGCAGAGCTACATCGGTGTCCCCTCAGACCCCTCAGACAGCTGATTCGTCCCATCCTGTCCCGTCCCATCCTGTGCCATCCCTGGCTGCTAACAGTTCACAGCTTCCTCCCTGGGAGCTGCTCTGTGCTGAAAATAAATGCCTTCCCAAAGTGACACCCTCCTAAAAGATGATCTGTGGCCACTGATGGGATGACATGAAAACCAAAGGCTCAGCACCTTTTCCCTCCTGCCACCTGGGGAAATACTGAAGGTCATCCTAGCTCACAGCTCCCCATGGAATGTCTGAATCCTCAATGGAAATTGGATTTGAGGTCAGTTCCTTCTCTTCCTCCTCCTCTTCCTCCTTCTCAACAGTCTTTCCTTTCTCACTTTTTTTTTGGACAGGTGTTTCTCCCAAAAGTAATCCCTAATGAACCCTGAATAAAATTCTCCATCTCATAATCTGTCTCCAGGAAACCCAATAAGCCAATTAGCACCAGGAATGATCCTGGGAAGCCAACTATAAAGCAGGAGGTAGGAGGTGACAACCCCTTGGCCACCTGGCAATGTGGACCCCGTCCCTGGTGGTCATTGTAGCATGGATAGTCTATGGTTGTGTTAGTGATACAAATGCAAAACATCTAGCAAAGTGACACGTGTTCAGACACCAGTGGATGGTGGTGCCCTGTCTGGGTAAGATCTCCAACACTGGAGAGGCACGGAGGGAAACTAGAATGGCCATGGAATTGGTGGCTGTGGCTGAACACCACTAATTGGCTCATGGAAGACGGATAAATCAGACAGTTCAATGCAAAACATGAAAAAAGAATTTCCTTCGCAGCATTTAAGGAAACTTTCAACTCCTGCAGCAGAAGGCCATTAGCAAGAAGAAATGGGCTCAAGACTTAATCCAAGGACAGCAGCAGGGCTACAGAGGAAGCTGGCTCTGCAGGTCTCAGCCTGCAGGCCTCTGACACCAGGGTCAAAGCCATGCCAGGAAAGGAGTGGGACTCTGAGGCTCATAGGATATGGTTGTCTGGGTTGATGTGGTTAAGAATTTTGAACTCCCAGCTTCTCCCAAACCTGGTGGGCCTGCAGAAGGGCTCCCTCCCCCATGATAGGAAGTAGTGAGCATTCCCTTGCCCCAGTGTCACACAGAAGCCTCAGGTGAGTCAGCTGCCTTGTAAGACCCTGCTGGAGGCCTTCACAATCCCTGCCCCAATCTTTGCTTCTGTTAATAAGATGAATAGAAATCACAGTCAGATCATGAGACAGCGACAAAGCCAGCTAAGGGAACAGAGGGGCTATACACCAAAGGAGCACCAAATCTGGGCCATCCATGCAGGAGGAGGTGAGATGTGTGTACTGGGCAAAATACAGAGGGTGATGGACTAAGGGGTGGGAACAAAGCTGGATAAAGTCCTTCATAAGGCTGAATTTATCACCCTGGCAAAAATTCTAGGAAAAAACTGCCAGGTTGAATCCTGGATGGTTGGCCCATGGTAAGTAGATGCACCAGAACTTCCTGGGTAGATGATGGGAGAAAGGCCCCAAGGGCTCAGAGAAAGTGGGCATAATCAGGTGGATGTAGGTGGAACACCCACCAGTTAGCTATGTTCTATGGGAGGCTAGAAGGACTCTCCATTTATCAAAGGGATAAGGAATGGGCTGGGGAAGGGACACCAGTGTCACGAAGATGTCTAGTGGTGTCTGTCATCTTTCAGCTAGAACCGGCAGTAGGAGATGCTGTTATGGAATGGGGCTTCCTGATAGAAATGGGAATGCTGGGATCTCAAAAACCAAATAGATCCTGGTGGAAGACAGTAGATGACTGTCCAAGGAGTAACCTTGATTGTAGCAACTGGGTCAGATATGGTGCCTTGACAAGAGCAGATTAACAAAGACTCCAGCACATGATATGCAGGCAGCACTCTGGCAAATGCATTCTCTCCCTCCCTTTCTTGAGGAGGATCTAAAGTGGTACACATTCACAGTATGCAGTTATAGTTTTGTCCCAGGGCTTTGCTGGTTCACCTCCTTACCAAAGACACTGACCTATTCTGAAGATTATCAAATTAGTCTACCACCATGGTGACTCCAGCTAACTGGAGCAGGTAAGCAGGAAGGGGCAGAAATGTGGGGGGCCTCGATAAAGCACAAGGGCTCCAGAGGGTGTACACAAACTCTCTGGTTTCAGGATCTTGCCACAGCAGTAACATTTTTAGCATCCAACGGTCTGGGGCATATAAGGACACCCACCCCCAAATAAATGACTAATTATTGCATTTCATAACTCTCATCACTAAGAAAAGAACACTTTGCTTGGTAGGCCCCTTTGGGTGCTGAAGGTGTTATTTCTATACTTAGAAAAGTACTCAAACCCATTTGCCAGGTGATATGGAAGGTGGCCAGCTTTAAGTGACTCTTAGAAAGGGCTCTGCCTCAGGTCCAGAATGTGCCTCAAACACCCTGTCCTGTGACTGTACAACCAGCAGGCCTTGTGGCATTAGAGGTTTCTGTGTTGGGAAAAGACACCAAGTAAGTTGATGGCAAGTCCCCCAAAGAATCACAAGGTGACAACGCTTAGGGTTCTGGAGCAAGACCATGCCATCTGCAACAGGCATCTCATGTGGAAGGCAAGGCCTGGTTTGCCACAAGGCCCTAGTAAACATGGACTATATAAGCGTGGGCATCAACTGGCCATGTGGCCAGAGCTGTCCATCATGAGCTGGGCTCTGTCATACCCACTAAGCCATAAATTCTGGCCAACCCAACATCAATCCTCTGTAAGGTGGAAGAGGTGCATCTGGGTGTGAGCAGGACCTCTTTCTGCAAGTGAGCTGCATGAGCAGGTAACCCCAACCCCTGCGTCATGTACCATCGTAGCACTGGTGTCTCTGTCCCGAAGGTCACACTATTGCTGGGGCTGAGAGATCAGGGAGGGTTCCCTCACACCCACTAATGGAGGAAGGAAAGGTCTGAGCCTGATATATGGACAGGCCACCTCGATGTGTCTGCAGGAGCTGAAAATGGGCTGCTCTTGCACTGCAGCCCCATTCAGGAGTGACCCTGAAGGAGAGCAATGAGAACTCTTCCCAATTATCCGCACTGTGGGCAACGCCTCCTGCCTCCCACTTTGTGGAGAGAGACATGGCCCAAAGTAAACACACTCATAGACTTAGGGCATCTTTACTGGACTGGCTAGGTGGACCAGAGTCCTGAAAGGAGCCAGACTGGAAGATTGGGAACAAGGTCTCAGGAAGCTCATCTAGAGGGACAAATAAGGATGGATACAAAATAGGAAGATTTCAGTATCACAGGTTAATAGCCACCAAAGAGCACACACAATGGGAGAGATGAAACAACCAAGTGAATAGAATGGCTCGGCCCTTTGACATCAGCCAGCACTTGTTATGCCCCCCACCCCAGTACAGATATGATGGGCACATGAGTGAGGTAACCATGGTGGGAGGGAGAAAGCTCTGCACACACCCATCAGGAGCTCCCATCACCAAGGCTGGTACAGCTGCTGTTGCCACTGAATAGCCAAACTTCTAGCCATAGAAGTTGAAACTGTGCCCCAGCTTCGACACCATCTTGAGAAGATGAATTAGGCCCTCGATGCCAGCTCTCAACTCCTTTCAGCCTGAAAGGGGTAGTGATTCAATCTGACTAATATGAACATATTGCCCAGTATGAGCATGCCTTGTATACCTACAGGGCTTTGGCCAACCCAACTGTCCAACTATCTGAAGATTAAAGAGGATGTCTTCAGCTGACATAAAGACCAGCATGGTCTTAGGCCACGGGACCCACTTTATGGAGAAAAAAAAAAAACAAACAAACTACAGTAGTGGCCATGGGCCTCTGACCAAGGGATCCCCTGGTCCAGGCACCTATTGCACCCTCAGGGGTTACCAACCTAAAAGGGGGGTGCAGTGGCCTCTGAAAGAAGAAACTGAGAAGTGAACTTGAAGACGATGTCCTTGTCTGGACACAGTATGGACCCTGAGAGAATGACCACTGTGTGTTACTGCATACCCTAGGGGTAGCATACAGGGGTCAGGAAACCAAAGGGTGGGAGGAAGACTGGCCCCCTTACCTAAACCAAGCCCTACCCATCTTGGGATTTGTCTTACCACCCCAGCTCCGTGGGCCTGGATGTCTTGGTTCCCAAAGAAGGAACATTTTGACACAGGGTCTCCACAGGAGTCTATTAAACTTGAAGCTGCATCCGCTAACAGTCCCTGGGTTCCTCCAACCCGACAGGCATGGAAAGGAATCATACGAGGAAAGATGGGGCTGCTGGAGGCAGGAAGGAATCTCTTTGGCACTAAATTTATCTACTGGGTCACCTCTCAGTGCCCATATGTCTTGTTTTAGCAATAAATAAGTAGCCATATCCTAAGAAGAACCTGGTAACCAGGGACTCAGACCCCTTGGAGATAATTGTCTGGCCAACCTCAGACAGTTCAACCCCAGTCTGTCTAAGAAAAATCACTTAGACTAGTAAAAGCAAAGGTGAGGGGGTATCTAGGATGGTGTTTGATGGTGACTATCAGATAGGCTTCGAGATCTACAGCAGCAGGTGGCAAGCGGGGATTGGGTCTTGGCTGTTGGGTCCTGGAATCCGCGCGACTCAGAGAGCATTGGGCCGCTGAGAGCTCTGGGATTTGAACCCACGGCACCGACAGCCCAGGGAATCGCTGTCCGAGGTCAAGTTCCAGGCGCGCTGAGACAAACACTGCCTCCTCCTCCTTGGCCATCAGGGGCAGGGCCCAGCAGCCAGGGCTAGAGGACGACTGGAGCAGCTCCTGGGTACGTACTGGAGGAGGAGGAGGAGGTCGCGCAGCCTCAGCCCTGAGACTCAGGCGCTCCGCGTGCGGCCCACCCACCGCGCTGAGGTTGCTCGTGCACCCCCACCGTTACTATTCCAGGTCCTCGGGAGACAGCCGTTACCTAACCCTTCAGAAATCTACGCTGGAGGAGCTAATCTAGTGAGAGCCGTTGCCTTGGAGAGGATGAAGCTGTCAACGACACTCCAAGGGGGCCGCGGTGGCGGCAAGACCAACAGTGCCCCTGAACAGATGGGCCCAGATGACAGTCGTGGTGGCCGTGGCCTTAGAGAAGCCACTACCCGTGCCACCCCTGGAAAACTTTACTCTGGACCGGGGCCCCTCAGCTCTGCACCAGAGTTTGTACACAAGGGCTTGAAGGTGGAATCTGACGGGGTAACTGACCAGCTTTCAGCTGCGTCCTCGAATGAGGTGCAGGCGCCAGTGAGGATGCGCATGCGCAACCATCCGCCACAAAAGATCCCTGACTACAAGAAGCGCCTCTCACTACCCGATGACAGCCTGCTTCCCCAGGGCTACCTCGAGAAGCTGATCCTCAGTAGCCCAATCTTTGACATGCTCTGCAGCCGCCTCCTGCAGCACATCAGCCTGTCGGAGATTGGCTCGAGGAAACTGGAGACATACATGAAGCTGGACAAGCTGGGCGAGGGCACCCAGGCCACCATCTACAAAGGCAAAAGCAAGCTCACAGATGGCCTTGTGGCACTCAAGGAGATTAGGCTGGAAAAGGAAGAGGGGCTACCCTGCACTGCCATCTGGGAAATGTCCCTGCTCAAGGACCTCAAACATGCCAACATCATCACACTCCTCGACATCATCCACATGGAGAACTCCCTCACCCTTGTCTTCGAGTACCTGGACAAGGACCTGCAGCAGTACCTGGATGACTGTGGGTCCATCATCAACATGCACAACGTGAAACTGTTCCTGTTCCAGCTGCTCCGTGGCCTGGCCTACTGTCACCGGAAGAAAGTGCTACACCGAGACCTCAACCCCCAGAACTTGCTCATCAACAGGAGAGGAGAGCTCAAGCTGGCTGACTTTGGGCTGGCCCGGACCAAGTCCATTCTCACGAAGACCTACTCCAACGAGGTGGTGACGCTGTGGTACCGGCCCCCCGACCTCCTGCTCGGGTCCTCACACTACTCCACCCACGTTGACATGTGGGGTGTGGGCTGCATTTTCTATGAGATGGCCACTGGCCAGACCCTCTTCCCGGGCTCTGGGGTGGAGGAGCAGCTGCACGTCATCTTCCGAGTCTTGGGAACTCCGACTGAGGAGACATGGCCGGGCATCCTGTCCAACAAAGACTTCAGGGCACGCAACTACCCCAGGTACTGTGCCGAGGCCCTTGGGAGCCATGTGCCCCGACTTGATAGTGATGGGACTGATCTCCTCACCAAGCTGCTGCAGTTTGAAGGTCGCAATCGAATCTCTGCAGAGGACGCCATGAAACACCCGTTCTTCCTCAGTCTGGGGGAGCAGATCCACAAACTTCCTGACACTACTTCCATATTTGCACTAAAGGAGATTGAGCTACAAATGGAGGCCAGCCTTGGCTCTTCATTGATGCCTGACTCAGGCAGGTCAGCTCTCCATGTGGTGGACACTGAGTTCTAAGCCACAGACCGAGGGCCCAGGGGGCAGCAGCTGGAGAGAAGCCACACCCCTCCCAGGTCAGCCACCTGCTGCATCCTCCCGCTGCATCCTCCTTGCTGACTGCCTGCCTAGCTCACCTGCCCACATGCCCCCTGCTGCCTGTCCAAACATCAGTCTGTTGGCCTGCGAACCCACCCATTGGCCTGTCTGCTAGGTGCTGACAAAGCTGTTGTCACTCCTTAGAGAGGCAGAGAGACACTGTCAGCTGTAGCCACAGGAGGCATGGTTTCTCCACTAACCCTTTGCCTGTCAATTCTTAGAAAATGAGACCGATCTGAATCCTGAAGGACCTGTTTCTAAAGGAGATATAAGAAGTAAGTAGATCTGGGAGGCACAAAAGGTGGACTGTAGTGGACACTGTCGTCGTCTCCCCAGGTCCCCTTTTCTCTGAACATCCAGCCCCCTGCTGCGGGAATGTTGCTGCTGGTAGCTCGAGCTGCATCCCTCACCAGGAATTGTCCTTGGCTGGAGGGAACTGTTTCATCCAAGGTTATTCTTCCTCCCAGAAGGTAGCTCATGGCCAGCGGTGACCAGCTGATGTGAATGCAGAGCTGCAACACCCTTGCCTCAGTCTGCGACAACTCTGAAGCTCTGTCCCAGCTCCAGGGCTCTCTGTGGGAGAAACCTCAGTGGCAATGTCATTGCTGATTGGTTTCTCCTGCTGCCTGTTCCGTCAGTCTCATTTTCACGCAGATGTTTCCTAAGAACACTCTGTAAGAAGCCCTCTACAAGTGTTTCTTTGTCTCTGGGTCTGTGTCCAGTTAGCCTCAGTCAGTATGTAGCGCTTCCCCGTGTTGAAGTTGACATCACAGCAAATGCACTTTCCAGCAGGTGTGAGAATGTCTTCACCCACCCAGCCCTCTCCTCCAGTGTGAGTGAGGGTGGGTATAAGGCTGATCCCCACACATGTCTGGGGGTTCACAGGGAAGAAGTCTGTGTATAAGCAGAGTCTATCCCAGCTTAGTAAAGTCACAAGGCTTGCAGGCTGACATGTAGCATAAATGAAGCCAGGATCGCTGCCCTCCAGTGTGAGACGCACATGTTCCCACCCAGACATGTGGAAGGCCTCCACGTGGGAAGTGGAGGGCCAGCAAAGCGGGGCTTCTGCAGAGAGTCGCCACCCACGTCTCCGCCTCAAGCAGTGGAGAGTAAGTGTTGGAGCTCCCTCTCCACAGGTCCACCCGCAAGCATCCTTGAACCTCTCTCATAACAAGGATAAATAGCGTGTACCTGGAGTAACAGCTGAGCAGGAAGACGTTCTAAATTATTCCCCTGGCCTCAAAATGTACCCAATTCACGTCAATATCTATACCATACTGTTTCTGCATTGCCATGTTTCTTAGTATATTTCTAAATTTTAGCATGCACCATCCATACTATAATTACTTAGGAGGGGCCATATCCTCCTCACATATAGTGAGGAGAACTTTCAAAGCAAGAACCTAGATTATATCCACCTTCATGTTCTGAGATCCTGGCTGAACAAAAGCAGCTTCACACACGGGTCCCAGGAGAGGGAAGAGGTGACATGTCATCTCAGGCTCTTTCCAAATGGCAAGCATCAAGCCAGCCAAAAAGTCTATTTAAATATGTGTGTTAAAAGTGTACATATTCTTTGATAAAACACTAAGTACATTTTTAAATAAAGGAAAGCTGTTATTTTTTTCTATAGATGTATCTGTTTTCTAATTTCTTCACACTAAGAGGCATGTGTTTGTAATGTTTAAGTTTCTTAAAAGAAAGAAGACGACATCGATCCGTGGAGATTCTGCCCTTTGTTCTAACATCAGACTGTTCTCAGGCTTGCTCTTGAAGGCTCTCAGCCTCTCGCACGTGCTTCAGTGAAAAGGTACCGCCAGGTCTGTGTGAATCAGGGCTCCCCAGAAAACAGAACTGATAGGAAATTCATGTGTGTGTGTATTTTGTGTAACACACATGCATACACACACATGTGTGTCATTTGAGATTTATATAGGAAATGTATATATACGTGTGTGTTGTGTGTGTGAGACGTGCTGAAGGAATCGGCTCATGTGGCTATGGAAACCAAGAAGCCCCGCACACGGCTGTCTATGAGCCGGAGAACCGGGACAGCCAGTGGTGTAGTTCAGTCCCGGTGTGAGGCTGAGAGCCAGGAGCACTGGTGTCTAAGGGCAGAAGGTCAACGTTGCAGCTACGGCGAAGGGGACAAACTTCGCCTTCCTCCAGGGTTTTGTTTCCCACAGGCCCTCAGCAGATGAGGCAAGGCCCACCCTCACTGGGAGGACCACCTTTCTTACTCAGTTTATCGATTCAAATGCTGATCTCTTCCAGGCACACCCAGAAATGGTGTTTTCCCGGCTATCTGGGCATCCCTTAGCCTCCAGCAAGTTGACACATGAAAGTAACAAGGGACTAATATTCCTTCCATTTGAAATTTACACACAACCTGTGCCAGGGGACCAAAAGACAGGACCCTGGTGCAGCTGGGGACAGCCTGCCTCTCCTCCTGCCCTCAGAGGAGGGAGCTGGCTCCTTCTCTCCTTTGCTGGGACAATCCTGGTGACCGGCATGTAAGCAGTCCCTGAGCCAGAAAATCAAAATGCAAACCACAATGCCACTAATGAAAGCACACAGATTATGTACTTACATTGGGCTTTCAGCAGCCTCGTGGTGATGGTGGTGATGGGGGATCTCTCCTGTCCAATTGAATTTCTTTCTACATCATGTACGTGTGCTCCAATAATAACAGCACCAATAAATCTCTTTCCACGTGGGAAAAGCACCCAGTGATGGGGAGCCAGCTGTCTTGTGCTTAGTGCTGCCCCACCCACCCCTCAGTATTTTCCAAGTCAGCTAGGAAGGCTGGCCTAGTCTCACAGTCAGCTCCGCCCCTTCCGTCCCCACCCTCCTTGCTGAGATGATAGGCAGTCACTTAAGGAGGCTCAGGAGGCACCAGATCTTGAGACTTTCGTGGAGCAGCCAGGGAGTGATCCTGAAGAGTTAGAACTGCAAGAGGCCCTGAACACTACCCCGTCTAGCGTAGGTGCTTTCCCGTGGAACAGCGGGGGCCTAGCTGCCTACAGTCACGCAGCCCTCAGGGGCAAAGCCAGAACTCGAGTCGAGCCTGCCGACTCTGAAGCCTGCTTCTCTCAGTCTTCCACACAGTCTCTGCCACTTGCAGCAGCTAAGGCTCAGGAACCTACTAAACCTCCCTCCACTAACCGCTCCTCAAAAAATAGAGAGGAGAAAGGAGAACAAAAGGGGAGGAGAGAGAAGGAAACCAAAGGGAAGGAAAGAAAAAAAAAGAAAGTGGAGAAAAGTCTCCTCTTACCACCTAGGCAAAGCAAGCAGAGGAGACAGGCTCTCTCCATGTTCCCCTCCTGCCCCTGCCCCACCTGCTTCTCAGCAGCCTGCAGACTTCTGTGGAATCGCTTTTACTCCAAGACTGTTACAGTTCAAAATGGGGGGGCCAAGGGCAGCTGAGGCAATATACTATTTACCTGAAAGGAACCCCCCAGGTTCGTTATGTTCGCTGCCAGAGGAAAGACATCTCTCAATACCAGAGATCAGTGAAAAGGAAAGAAATTTATTATTCATTTGAAATAACACAAACTAAAGTTCCCCACAAATGCACACAGTCCTCCCAGCACCCTCCACGTGGCAAAAGGGAGCACTTCCAAAGCCTCATGGTCCTGCCTCTCACCCAAGCCTCATGGTCCCAACCAAGACACCAAAGCCACATGGTCCTAAACAGACGCGTGGTCCCAAAAAAGAGAGATGCCCAATGGCTGCTCAATGGCTGCTATGCCTCTGTTTAAATCCCAGCGCTAATCTTCCTCTGCAGCCCCATTTCCGGCTCCTCTCACAATCGGCCACAGCTGCCAGTATTCTGGGCAGTTGTGGCCCTGTGGTGTGGAGCCAATTATCTCCAAGCTCTTCTGGACCCTATTACAAATCCCTATTTGGGGGTCCCCTCTTGGCTGCACCCTGTTACAAGACTACCTTCCATCTTCACCCAGGTGACTCTAGCTAAGAAGAATGTCACAGGACAGAGCACAACTGTCTCAGTCCCGTTTACACTAGAGATGACTGAAGTAAGAGGATCCCAGAGCATCAGGGACCAGCCAGGACCCCAGGGGGCCATTACTGGATGAATTGCAGAGGGAGGGACGGCTTCTTGCTTGAAATGTGCTCACTCACCCAGGAAGTAACTCTGCCTTTCCTCCCCTCCGTGAGCCGCTCAGAGAAGGGAAACGCCTCCTGCATGAAGCGAGCTGGCAAACACTTAGCGCAGAGTGCGTGAGCACGTTAATTTTTGCTGGCTGCCGCCTTTGTGTTTTGAACGAGTCAGACTCTTTTGTGTAACTGCTTGATGAAACATTCCCATCCACCCTGTCAACACAAATTACACAGTTAAAAACGCACACACCCTGACCACCACGACACCAGAGAGCTGCTGACTTGCCCTGAGGGTGGGCTCCCGGGAGCAGCAGCCCAGGTCCAGCCCTCCAGCTGCCCGTCTGACCCAGTCCAGCCTCCAGACCTTGCCCTTCACTGTCTACCCTCCGAGGACAGTTGCTAGGAGACAGAGATACAGCTGGCTGGGTCCATTGCCTGGCCACTGTAGGGTTGGGGGAAGCAGAGCTGGGAGGGTCAAGAAACACAGCACTTGGCCTTCAGATCACAGGCACCTTCTGGGGATCAGAGGGGGCTTCTCTGTGGACAGGCCCCTACCCACAGAGAGGGGCCTCACATGCTCAGGAAGGCGGGGGTGGGTGGGGTGCCTCTCATTCCAACTCTGATGGGGTTTCTCTGAGTGTGTCTGAAGTGTAGAATGCAGCCCTTGACGGTGAGGCTCAGTTGGAAAGTCATCCTATAGATCGAAAGGTCATGGGTTTGAATCCCAGTCAGGGCGTGCGCCCAGGTTACAGGTTTGACTCCAGGTCAGGGTGTGTATGAGCAGACAGCCATCAAGGTTT